AGGTCAGCAAGAGATGAGATGAATAGACTGTGGTTTAAGTGACCTGTGCAGAGACGCAGGTGGACTTGCAAATAGAAAACAAATTGCTCAGCGCGAGTATTGACATTATTTCAGTGCGCTGCGGGAGACCTAAAAACCAATGTTCACAGCCTTTCAAAAAGAAAATTGGAAGCGGTTCACATCCTCCTGGTTTAGGTTTGAATTCCTCTGGGATACAAATACGGTGACAGTATTATGATGTAAATACAGTAAATATCTGTTGAGTACTGAACATAGATGAGGTCCTTGAGGACTGGAGACTTAATACACATACGTCTGGCTTTCTTCTGTGAGATGAGAGGTTCAAATGACAACGTGGGTTTTCAAGATGATAAGCTTCATGCATTCACACATACTTGGAGAACACAAGAAATGCACTCATGGGCATTTATGAATGGGAATTGGTTTTGAAACAGCGTGTAGCCCTCTTTCTTAACATGATGGTATTGAATATTCAGAGTCATCATGATCTGTTTAGGATGTATAACTGAGAGTAATGCTGAGCCTGTAAAGGAAAATAAAAAATATTTATTTTTAGCCAGGAGTTTATTTCCCAATTACTTTGTTCTGCACATTCTACAGAGCCTTCAGAACAAAGAACAAAAACATATCCTGGCACCCATTTATGTAATTCTTGACTCTTATACAAACAGTGTGGTGCAGTTTCTTCATCCTAAAAAACAAAACTCATTGAGGTTGAAAAATAAATCAAACTTCTCTGCCAGAGCTCTCAATCTATAATTAATCCAGACGCCTCCTGTACAGTATACTGTATGTAATTATATCCTTCAAGTCTCTACAAACGTTTATCCCATCGACTTCACATCGCCAAGTGTACTGCTGATGACCCAAGGAAGCACACTGTTTAGTGTGAAGCTTTTAGGGTGAGTGGTTCTCGAGAAAGCTACAAGCAGCAGTACCGGAGGCCAAGCATTTAACCGAATGTGCACTAGCCGGAATGCCCTAATCATGCTAATTGCCTTCAGAGAAACTGTCCGCTGAATACTTTTACCATAGGGGTCAATCAAACACAACTTTCCCCATCATTAATTTTATAATTTCTATTTAATGTGTTCATTTCTACAAACCACTTACGAGGTAAAATTGTAGCTCATGACTCAGGGAAAGTGTAAACTAGTGTTTCTCAAACTCGACCTTTGAGCTACATCTTTATCCTTTTCAGTAAACATGCAGATCCTGTCCACCAGCCAGGGGCTTTCTGCTGTTATCAGTGAAGTAGTGTCAGGCGTCAGAGTGACAGACAGAGAAAACACACAGATGGGAAACATCCTAATTCTCATGACACTGGTGGGCAGATTCTTAGAAACATTTGTTGCTGGTCATGAACACTCAGCTCATGTGGCTTTTTCACATTTTCATTATGTTAAAACGAGAGTGTACAGTGATGCTAGCAGATCTTTGAGGCAGCGTTTGAAGAAGATATCCTTTTGGGTTAGCTGTGGCTCTGAAGAGGTTGAGCAGGTCATCTATTAAACATGAGGTAAATGGTTCGATTTCTTCACTAATCCTGTGGTACGTGCACACATAGACATCAAAGTGGGCTTGAGCCCCTGCCCTTTTTCTTACTCCAGAGAAAGTGCCCTTTACCCCCCCCCACTTTTTTTTTTTAAATAAATGAATATATATCTACTGCTGTTTGCGCACAGTTTCGCTTTCCAAAAATATATTGATTGAATACAAAATAAAAACATGAGGTCGGGAGATTAGACTGTAAAGTTCCGATGCTCTCTCTCTCCCCTCCCTCCCCGTCTCCTGCACAGCGGTGTGGACAGTCATCGGCAGTCACTTTAGAAAGACAGGTAACAGCACTTCCCACCTTATGTTATCTCTCTTTAATGGTTTATTTTGAAGGTGAGTCAGTGCCTCGAGTTTACAGCTAATTAGCTAAAAGACAATAACAATTATAGTTAACTAAGGCTAATGGATAAGTTAGCTCAAGGTTTAGCTAAGGTAATTTATCATGGGCATACAGGCTAATGTACTGTACTTAAGGGGAGAGACATAAAGTGAATACAGTAAAATGTGTATCTAATAACGCCATCACAATCGCTACATTGATATGCAAATTAGGCGTTAACTAGGCCTAATTAAAATGCGCTAATTTGCATGCAGTTGCAGGTGAAAAGGATAAAACAAAAAAACATATCACCTCACAACTTCCCCAGATAGTTACTTACGTCAAGTCAATATTTTCCCCTGAAATGTTATGTTTAAATATGCAGATTAGCTTTAAATCTATGGATTAATTCAGACAGGGTAGTAAAACGAACACCATTTATGTGTTTCTTGGAAGTTTTATTTCCATTAGAGTGAAAGAAAACATGGAAGCAAAATAGACCAAAATAACAAGTACATGAAAAAAACGATCTTTTTGCCAGTAATGTCCTTAAACAGTAACTTCATCATTTTGTATGTTGGCTGCTCATTTGATAACTATTAATTTAACTAGT